ACTTATGATAGATTTGATTCTTCTTGTGATCGATGGTAAAAGCTAATTTTAGACAGAAATTGAATCAATTTTGTTAGTCAATATGTAAACGCTTTGGAAATTTGGACCATTTCTTTAAGTGTCTTCTGCTTTGTCATGGAGTTGGATGTTTTTTACTCTGGGACTTGTGTACAGTTTGTGATATGATTATGCCTTTATTTGGCGTTGTGGGTCTTTGTGTAGCTTGTGGTTGGAAGGGCATCAACTAGTTCTGGGAAAGGGAGAAATAGCGAAGGCGAGATCAAATTCGGTTACAGTTTAGTGAAAGGGAAAGCTAATCATCCAATGGAGGATTATCATGTCTCCAAATTCGTGAAAATAGACGGTAAAGAGGTCGGTTTGTTTGCTATCTACGATGGTCATTTGGGTGAACGCGTTCCTGCTTATCTACAGAAGCATTTGTTCTCCAATATCCTCAAAGAGGTCTGCGAAAGATACAGGCTCTTCTTGTGTTTGTTGTTCCTCTTTTTAACATTTTCTTTAAGGATCTAAACCGGTGTGTTTGTGTGTGCGTTTACAGGAGCAGTTTTGGTTAGATCCTCACAGATCATTAATTGCTGCGTATGAGAAGACAGACCAAGCCATTCTGTCACATTCTTCTGACTTAGGCCGTGGTGGCTCAACCGCTGTGACCGCTATTCTGTTGAATGGACGGCGTTTGTGGGTGGCAAATGTGGGTGATTCCCGGGGGGTTCTATCTCAAGGTGGTCAGGCGATACAGATGACTGTAGATCACGAGCCGCACACTGAAAGATTGAGCATAGAAGACAGAGGAGGATTTGTATCGAACATGCCAGGTTACTCTTAGATAATGATACCAAACAAATGAAATCAGTTCCAAAGTTATCCGAACATTGGATCTCAAAACATTGTTTTTTGTTCCTCACAGGAGATGTCCCTCGGGTCAACGGGCAGCTAGCTGTTTCCCGTGCTTTTGGAGACAAAAGCCTCAAAACACATCTACGGTCAGATCCAGACGTCAAAGATTCATCGATCGATGACCACACAGATGTTCTTGTTCTTGCTAGTGACGGTCTATGGAAGGTGAATAAAATTGTGATTTCATCTGAAATGAGTTTATGTAAAGGGAATTGATTGGTTAATACGGTTTTGATGTGTAATTTTATAGGTAATGGCTAACCAAGAGGCGGTTGATATCGCGAGAAGAATCAAAGATCCATTGAAAGCAGCAAAAGAACTAACTACTGAAGCTCTAAGAAGAGAAAGCAAAGATGATATCTCTTGCATTGTGGTCAGATTAAGGTCATGAAAGATCCTTTGAAACTACCAAGATAAGGGATAAAACGAGTAGAAATGAAAGAAAAAAAACCGAATAAACAAGTTTGACGAGTAGAAGATGATGAATTTTTTGTTTTCCGGTGTAAAATGGTTGATGGATTTTCCGGATGTTTGGTAATTTGATTGGTTTGATTTGTGGTTTGTGAAAGTGAATCATATGATTTGATGTATAAAAACAACGTATCCTCTCTCTGCTTTGATCTGAGAAGATTACTACAAGTGGGGAAAGAGTGTATATAAGCTTTTGTGTGCTTCTTCTGGTCTCTATTTTTTACAGTCTTTATCATGGAAATATTTATTTCCAAAATTTTGGTCTTTTTCTTGTAATAAAATGTACCTAAAGTTGTTAAATTTTTACCCCTTGTGGTTTGGTAGTAGAGAGGAGTGAACTAGAAAAATTGACAGGTTATATCCAATGAATATGAAAACTACCAAATTTGATTTATTAGAAAATTTTAAAAACCAATCCTACATCCCTAAGAAAGAAATATAGATATGCATTACATAAATTATTTATCTATCAATCACATTTGTTTTTCTAATGTCAAGCTTTTATAATGTTTTACTTAATCTAACATATCAATTATAGTGTTGAATTATTTCAGTAAACAGTATTGAGTTATCACTGTCTCTTGTACCCAAAGAAGAGATGTTTCAATTAGTAAACGACAGTGTACGTAAAATGTGTAAGAAGAGATGTTTCAATGTCAAGACAAATAATAGGTAACGACACATAAGTATTCATTTCAATGTCGGAAGAAAACAAAAAATTCACAAGAAAAAAAGAGTGTAGAAACGATAAAAGAAGAAGTGGTTTAAACTTTAAAGCAATCAAATCCTTGGCTTTTCTTACTTTGCTCCACTTCATTAGTCCTGCAAAGTTCAATACCATGAAAATGTTATACAAAGAAGAAAAAACTTTTAGGAAAAGTGTAAAGCTTTTCCAAGATTTAGCTTACCTCATCTTGTGACTTGTCCCCTTTAGATTGTTCACCTGCAAGACAAAAAGGTTTTAAAAGCATTCAATGAATGTAAAAAGTGGTTCTACAATATAGTTTAAAGACGAGT